TGAGAAGCTGAGGGCCCTGTTTAACTGCAGAGGGGTGGAAGGCTTCACAGTTTACTTGGTGCCATCCAGCCTCCCAGAACGCAGCTCGGACAGAGAATCTCCTTTATGTGTGCTCAATCCAGCATGAACAAGTCTGAATGACTGGATGAACGATTTTATCAAAACAGAAATTCTGCTGATTTCCACGCAGTTACATCGTTGTGTAAGTGTGGAGAGAACAGAAAAGCCATAAACGGAAAAATGATGCCCTTCATACTGCAGAACACAGAGGCAATGCTGCAGCTCAGGATAAGAAAGCCATTTATCTTCTACACAAGTCGTTAAAATATGGGTAGAAGGGAAGAGGGCTATCTGGAAGAAAGAGACTGAGGAATGAGTTGCTTGCATAGAGAAGATTATCTGAAATGGACAAAGTTACCCATGGCAAGTTTTGAGGGACAAAAAGGCAGTGTTGAAGGATGACTAACAGAAGCCTTACTACAGAGCTCACTGGAGTCAGGGAGCCTTGAGCAGAGATATGAAACCACAAAAAAAATCAAAGCACAAGAGTGTTTGGGGGGGCTGGGAGTCATCTTGCACTCTCAAAGGCAGCAGCAGACTAAACATGGTTGTAAGCAGAGACCACAAGGCATGGCTATGAGGCATCTCCAAGCTGAAGTTGGATATAAATTCTCCTTACAAATTATTTTAAGATGAAAATGTGTGTTTCAGAACAGTTATTTTTCTTGTAAATCTACATTTTGCCTAAATTTTCCAAGTGAAAAAAAAGTAAAAAAACCATTTTGTTTGGGGGCTGGTTGCAATTTGAAAATAAATTAACCTCAAATTAATTTTTTTTGACATTTCCAAACTTTTTGTTCTTCCAAAAAACTGACAAGCCAGGGAATCGAGTGTGAGAAGCTAACATACTTGCAAACACATATCTGGGTTAAACTGAAAGGTTTTCAGATGTGAGGGTAGTGAGTGCATTTCTGCTTTGCAGAGAAGGAGAGCAATGGCAGGTCAGCCAGCAAGGCAATCCTTACTGCCACTCTTGAGGTAAAGAGCTGCTTTGTTATGGGGAGGAAAAGACTAGGGAAGCAGGCTAGGTTAGAAGGCAACAGCAATCATTCAGTGAGCAGATGGCAGGAGGGACTGTGCCACACCTGCCCTACTGGTCGGCCCCCTGCTGGAGTGGGTGCTGCCTTTAGAAAAGGCTGAAGAGGAAGGCAGAGTTCAAACTGGGCCATGACAAGCAGTTGATGAGGCACCCAGGGGGAGAGTCCAGAGAGACCAGCTGAAGTACTGCCTCAGCAACAAGGAAGCCAGCTGGAAGTGGAGCAAAGAGTTTGTGGATCATTGCTGCTAGGGAAGGTGCCTAATTGAATCTAACATGAACTGGCCAAGCAATGTGTCAACACGCCAGGCTCAAACAGCAAGCACATACTGACAGGCTTTCACTCTTCCTTTGCCTTCCATGTGTGGAAGAAGAGGCTGATTTAATCCTTTCACATGTGCTTTTACTCTTCAAGAACATACCGACTCTGAATAAATTCTCTGGCCTCCTTTCTTCAGGTGAGGTGGCTCAGGCAAAAGAGGACAAGCAGCTTGCAGGGATGCACATAATCTACCCACTATAAGGGTTTCTAACATATGGATGCACCACTGGAGCGTGACATTGTAAAAGTTGCATGGTGTGGACTGTGAAAAAAACATCAGGACTCATTCAGAGCATTGCCTGTGTGCCCTATAACTCTGGCTGAAGGCACATGGTCTGGTGCTACTGGCAATCCTAATGACTTTTGGAGTCAGGCCTAGGTTTGAATGGCTGATTTTTCACTCTAGAGCCAAGTACTTCACTGCTGGAGAGTCATAGCTTAATTGTAGACTTTGACAGTGCGATGGGCTCATCTGCAGTGGGGCTTTTCCACATGAGCCACTCATGCCCTGACCACCTGCTGAAAAGCCACTGAACCCAGTGTGGGAGTTCACTTCCGAATCAGGTCAACTGTTTGCTAACTACCACTAGGCAAGTTAGCACTAGTTGCCTCTAGGGGCACCTAGTCCCCTTTCCATTGCTGGTCTAGAAGCACTGTGGGACGATGACCCACTTCTTTTCTGTTTTCTTGTTCAGGGCTACCTGTACATCTGCTTTTTATGGCTGTGCTGAAATAGCTATGAAGATGGCTGGGATCTCAGCAGCATTGCATGTTACGTCTACTCTGCTACTTATCATTTTGCAAGTGGACAGCTATTAAGGAAGCAATTAGCTCAGCTACAGTGCACTCCTACCTGGGTATTCACACACAGTGCTTCCCTGGGCATGGGACACTTACTGCTAATAAAAATGCTGCCAGAGGAAGGAAACTGTAAGGGGATAGTGAAAATATCAGCCAAATACCACCATCTTACTGACAGTCCTGTAGTCAGCCTCAGATACCTTGTGCATTAGCTAAACTAAGGTAAAGAGGTGAGATTTCTGAGAGTGGAAGACATTTTAATTGAGCAGAGAAATGAAGGACAAGCCCTAAAAGCTGGGATATGAAGCTGCATTGCAGGGTCTAAGCGATGAAGCAATAGTTTAGCTTGCAGAGGTTGCTGGAACTAGTGCTTTTTCCATGTCTGTGCTGCATGGACAACTCAGCTGCTTATGAACACTGACATTTTACCTTAAAATGCCCTGTTCTGATTCATGGCAGTTGGAGGCTGTCACCTTCCTGGTCTTTCAAGCTGAGCTGCCACCCCTCATCACGCATAACTCCAGTTGACAGTAGAAATAAAGCAGGCTTTTTACCCATTCAAGGCATTGCAGACCTCAGGCAGGGAGGCAGTTACCATCTCTGGGACAACCCTCTGAGAGAATTGTTCTATCTCAGTGAACAGAGTGGGCTCAAAGTAGAAATTACCAAGAGGTATTTTTCACACAAGTAATTGGGTGAAATGGGCACGAAGATTCATACCTTCTGGAGGCAAAACTTCATATTCTATTAATTGTGCTGTCAGAGTGATCCGTCACTAACAAGTGTTCATCTATTACTAAGGTCTATTACTAAGGCAGAACAAACCATTGCTCCCTAAGTACTCCCTTCTGACTTCACCCAGGAGGTATTTTGTCTCAGGTGTTTTTCTTGCTTACTCTTGTTCTTTGTTTCTGAACTGAATTCCCCCAGCCCTAGCCCCTCTCCCCCAATTCAGTAGGCAAATGCTTGTCTGATGGGCTTTAGGCCTCAGTTCCACCTCTCACTTTCCCCACCTTTAAGTCCTTTTAGTGTTCTCCTTCTCATGCTAACCTTCTGTCACTTCATCACTGTCATCCCCCAGTGATCTAGGCTCTGCCTGCCCCCCTTGCACCCACTTCTCCTCCCTCTCCCCTTTACCTTGCATGTGCCCATGTTGAAAACACTCCAATTACCACAAAGCCTCCTACTCCTCCTCCAAACCTGTTTCATTCTCTTTTTTTTTTTTTTTCCCCCCTCTTCTCTGTCTACCCATCTTCCTGCCTGTTTTCCACTAGTGGAGCACCAGAGGATCAAGAGATGATGAGAAAGACAGGGAAGGAAGTGAAGAGTGGTAAATTTTCTCTCCCTTCTCTTATTCCTTTTTATTCCTGTTACTTGTTTCTCATTCTTTTTCCTCCCTTTATGCCTGCTAGAACCTCTGTCTTTCTAATCCTCCCTCCTTTTCCTCTTTACTCTGACATCTGAGATTGCTTTGTCTCTCTCTCTCTGTGCTCCCCTTTCTCTTCCTCTGAAGACTGCTCCACCTGCCATACCTTAATGTCCCAACACTGAAATGCACAGCACAATGCACAAACATGTATTGGCTTTCACAGTTCCCAAAGCAGAACTTCCCATGTTCACACTGAGACGTGCACAAACACTCTCACTCTCAGACAACTCTAAACATGTAATGTTGTCCTCTCTCCTGTATGTGCATATATGTGCACAGCCACGCACTTCCATGTATATGAAATCTGGCATATCTTCTCCATAAATGCTTGACATGGAAGTCCAACTGGCAACATCAGCCTGTCAAACCCTAAATTCTTTAGAGACCCAGTATAATTTCCTACGGCTGCATAGGAACAACACAAAGAGTTGCACTTCTCCATTCCTCTTTTTATTCTTCATCTGTGGAGTGAGAGCCATAGGGAAGTGGAGAAATACAGCTCCTCCCAGGGCACTGAAGAACATTATATCACTGTTCGCGCTGACCTTTCACATGCTGA